AGTGGGAGCACCCTAGACTAAGGCAACGGAGTTCATTCATTCATTCATTCCTCAACGATGTTATAAACAACTGCTCAGTGTTAGGTACTGTACATGTGTTGGAGTAGAGGGAGGGAGGTGAGGGGCAAGATGAGGTGTGAGAGAAGACTCTTAAGTGAGATCAGATGAGGCATGACAGAAGGCACCTGTGATCACTCTGCACTGGGCAGCTCTTAGTGTCACTTCCATGGTTGAAGAGCAGGTGTAGGCGATACGGTGATGAATTTAGTTTGGGACATGTTAGGCAAGATGTCTACATGGGAGAGGTCCACGGGGCCCCTATAATGTGGCCAGGTCCTTTGGAGCCAAGGCCCGCGATGGGTGAACACATCAAGTAATTGAAGTCCTGGGAGTTGGTGATTCTGCCCAGGACAAAGCACAAACATGAGCTTGGGGTTTGCTGAAGGCCTCGTAAAGGTGTCCTGGCCCATCAGCACCCAGGGGCAATTCTTTCCCAAGGTGATCAGTGTCTTGGGAGCGAAGAGAAAACACACAATTGTGTGAGTCTGGGTGTAGGGATGGGCAGGCCCTGAGGTAGGGAATTGAGGGTGTTCCTGGGAGTGTTTCCAGGGACTCAGTAGATGAGAGACCAGGAGGCACTGGTTCCCTCCTCCAGATTTTTGATGTGGAGGAGTCAGTCTCCAGGGCTAAGCAGAGTTGGCCCCTGTCTCACTACCTGCTGAGGCAGGGTGTGAAGGCGTTTGCCTGTGTGGAGTGCATCAAGCTTTCAGCCTGGCTGGGCTGCAGGCTCACCCTGGCAGCTGGGTGAAGGTGAGCTCTCAGGACAGCTTGTACTTTCTAGAACAGGGTAGTGCCCACTCTCACTGAATCATTGCTGACTTTTTTTTTCTGTAAATACTTAAGTTATTTATAACATTCACTCTTTTAAAACATTTCAACTTTCTTCCGTGATCCTCTTCTTATTCAGATTTCCTTTTCTTCCTCTTTGAAAAGTTCAATTTAGGGATTTCAACAATATTGATTCTAACTTGTGAGTAGATGGAGTGGGCCTGGCATGAGCTGAGGAGCTCTGGCGACAGCCCCTGTGGAACTGGGGTGAGGCTTTGTTTCGGGTAGAACAATGACATATGAATTTTCATTTTGGAAACTCAATTAAGCCCAGAGGGTGCCTACTCCACTGCCTCTCTTGCTTTCAGTGTGGGTTTTTGTATGTGTGTGTGTGTGTATGTGTGTGTGTGTGTGTGTGTGCCAGTGACTAAATGTAGGGCTCTTAGAAGCCAAAGGTACCCCTGAAGGGTACTGATAGCCAATTTGGGAGGTACTGAAGGTTTCAATCTGGGTCATTTCCCCTCTCTTTCCATCAGTTACTTCTGATAGACTCTACTTAGCTATGCTGATAATAAGTTAATCTAAGTCCCATTCAGCTGGGAGTTAAGAGCCCAGATGAGAGTGGGGTCCTTTAAGAGAAGGAAGATGTGATGGGGAGTAACTACCAGCCACTCTCCTCCATTAACTTCATCCAGACAGGATGGGCAGGAAGCAGAAAGCATGCCAAGGCAGAGGGCAGGCCTGACAGTATCCACTGCACCTAGTCTGGTCATGCCGGTCACTGCATGTAAAAATGCTCTTTATGGTTAGTTAAAAGTATCTGCCCTGCCACCCAGGACTTTGTATCCCTTTCCCATATCCAGCCACTGAGGGGTTAATGTTTGGCCCCATTCGGGGTGGGCCTTGCAAACTGTCAAATATTTGGGGTGACTCCTGAAGAGAACACTGCGGCAGGGGAGAGACGGGCCTCATGCAGCCTGCAGCCCACAAGTTGCAGGGTCTTCCTGCTTTTTTTTGCTTTGCCAGCAACACCAAGATGTAGTTTTGGTGCCATATCCTGGGCATTTCTCATACTTGGTGGAGGGGCAGGGAGGGTAACGGAGGTTTGGAGACCCCTGTTTACAAAGACAACAGTCCTCTGTTAGTCAGAGGATTGCTGAGGAGGGCTGTCACTCAGGGTAGAGAAACTTTCCAGAATCTTCTGAACCAGGGCCGTGGGGGAGGTTCATACTTGCCCTCCTGCCTACTCCCGTTCCGACAACCCATGACTGCCCCCCCCCCCAGAACCTCATCACTCATCAAGGAGACAAGGGATCAACAAGTAGTTTTGGGGGCACATCAAGCATTGGAGCCCAGGCCAGCTTTCAGAAATAGGAGGTGGGGGCAGTTTTATAGACATTATAAACAGGAAAATTAATCTCCAGGATCTTCCCTCATGAAGAAATCCTTAGGGACTTACAAAACTAGACCACATTAAGACATTTGGGCTGCTTTCCAAAGCAACAGGGACTTAACCAGATAAATTCATTGAAAAATATTTTGAAAATTGCAAAACAATCTGGCCTTGGGTAACACTGCTTCCAATAATGAAAGGTTTGCTTTGAGAAATATTTCCCACCCATATAAGTTGAATGCCATACATCATAAATAGATTCCTATTTCAGCCAAGTATTTTTTTTTTTTTGTATCAGGGATTGAATTCAGGGACACTTGACCACTGAGCCACATCCCCAGCTCTAATTTGTATTTATTTAGAGACAGCGTCTCACTAAGTTTCTTAGCACCTCACTTTTGCTGAGGCTGGCTTAGAACTTGTGATCTTCTTGTCTCAGCCTCTCGAGCTGCTGGGATCCAGACGTGCGCCACTGCGCCCGGCTACTATCAAGTATTTTTTTAATAATAATAATGATACACAACCTTTGCTCTGTGCTAGGTGCTTCTAAGCATGACATGTATAAACTTCTTTAATCTTTGCCATCTACCTGTGAGGTCAGGCTTTTATTGTCCTCATTATACCAAAGAGGAAACTGAGACACAGAGAGGTTAAGTAACTTGCCCAAGAAAACAGCCACTAGCTGGTGGAGCACTGCTAGGCTATCCTATTGTTCCCAGCTGTCCCCACCTAAGAGGTGACTGTAAAAATCAAAGGTGAACAGTATTCTAATAGATGTCCTGGTGTTCCCTGATTGCTGCCACTATCCCTGTCCACCTGCTTCTTTAAGAGTTTGCAGCAAGATTTTTTTTTTCCTTCAGAATGTTTTTGAATCATCATAGAAAGGGTTCTGGCTGACTCATGGAGATTTTTGATCCTCAAAATAACATGGTTGTAGGCTTTAAGAATTTAAAACTTCATTTAACTCTTGGAGCTGCTGTGGCGAGAATCTGTTTAACATCTTGGGAAGATCAGTCTCGTTGGGATGGTACTAATTGACTGGAGACTTGGGTCCGTCCTGGGTCTGTCCCTGCACACATGGGTTCTGTCTGCCTTGTCATTCCTTTCCAGAGTTCCTGCCACATGGTCCCCATCTTGGCTGGCTGGGTTGCTCATCTCATTTATTTATTTGCCACCTCTTTAAAATGTCATTCGGAGGCATCTTCCCCTCCTTTTCAAGTCCAGCGCTCTCCATGGCTGTGGTCTGAGTTCACCTCAGTTCTGCCCACTGACCTGAGTCCTTGGTGCTGTGTGCTACGTGCTGGAGTATCAGAGATAGAACGGGACAGGCCACTGTCCTGGAGAGGGTCCCTGTCTAATTTCCCCTGCTGGCCCCTGCCTGGAAGGACTGAAATACAGGACTGAACAGAAGATGCCCTGGCAGCCAAGCAAGTGGTGGTTGCTTCCAACTCACTGTACAGTGCACACGCGATTCACACGGGCCTGCAGGGCACACAGGTGGAACTGGATGTGTTGGAGCTTGAACTTTACTCTTTAGTTGGATATTACTTTTTGGGGGCTTTTTATAGTCTAGGGACCAGGGAATAGAAACTGATGACCAGAGCTGGGTGCCGTAGCACATGCCTATAATCACAGCAGCTGGGGGGGCTGAGACGGTAGGATCACAAGTTCAAAGCCAGCCTCAGCAAAAGTGAGGCGCTAAGCAACTCAGTGAGACCCTGTCTCCAAATAAAAAACAAAATAGGGCTGGGGATGTGGCTCAGTGGTCAAGTGCCCTAAGTTCAATCCCTGGTACCCCTCCCCAAATAGAAACTGATGACAAGACATATATCTTTTTGGCACTGAATCAACAGGGCAGGTTATTGCAGGTACTAAACTATTTAGGGAGATGCTGGAGACACGTGGTGACTCCAGATGACAGTGATGGGAGGAGGCAGGTTCTTATTGATCTTTTAGCCAAAGTGCTTGGACCAGTGGTACTGAGACAGGAGGGGTGCCCTATAAATGTAAGCTAAAGTTAATGAAATAAAGATGGGTGCCTCTCTTCTTTTTTCTTTATTTATTTTTGGTACTGGGGATTGAATCCAGGGGTGCTTAACTACTGAGTCAAAACCCCATCCCTTTTTTATATTTTATTTTGAGACAGGGTCTCGCTGAGTTGCTAGGTTGCTGAGGCTGGCTTTGAACTTGCAATCCTCCTGCCTCAGCCTCCTGAGTCACTAGATTATGGAGAGTGCCTCTGTGCCTTGCTGGGTGCCTCTCTTGATTGTAAAAAATGAAGAGGCACTGAGACACTCCCTCAGAGAGACAGAATACATGCTAAGATCATGGTGGTTTTGGAAGAGTATCAATTCAGGCAACTCAACAAGTGTGTGTGTGTGTGTGTGTGTGTGTGTGTGTGTGTATGTGTGCGTGTACACACGTGCATCATACACACACATGCATATACTGTATATTTACTACATGTCCAATAACACTCATCACTTAGGGTATCTTGTGTGTGCTGTGGATCTTTCCTAAGCATCAGACCTACAGTGGCCCCTCCAGCAGCCCTACCAAGGGCTGAGCCTAAGGGCAGCTCACACCCCAACCCACATTGACTACTCATGACTCGTGGTTCCACTGATCAATGACAGTTTATGTTGATTTTGCACAAGTTGTATAAAATATGTAAGATTTGTTCCCCACTGCTATAGTTCTTGATCCTTTTCTCCCTACTGGTGGCCCTGGGGACTTCATGTCACTGTTGCCTTGCATGACCCGAGGTTGGGGTACTTACCACAGTGCAGCAAAGGGGCCAGAACCACCAAAGCAGCGCCAGAGCCAAGAGCAGGAACAGAATCAGCAGGGCAATCGCCAGGATGGAGCCGTCCGACTGTGGGGCCAAGAGAAAGGCGGTCAGGAGAGGATGGACCACAGGGAGGTCTTCCCTCCCCAAATTCCCACTACCAACGGCAGAGCTGAGGCCCAGAGAAGCTCTCAGTTTGCCAAGATCAAGGCTGAAACTCTGCCCAGCGTGTTGGGTGAATAGCATCATAACATACTCGGTTTAGCCAATTTTTAAGTGAAATGGATTTGACTTTTCAGGAAGGCCCTGCTCTTCTCTTTAAGTAAGAATTGTAACCTTACAGGGCACTGAGATGGCCTCCCACTGCCCTCTGTCCCTGGAGCTTATTCCCTGTCCACTGACAGCCCCCAGCTCACTGAGACTGATGTTCTAGCCACTATCTGGGCAGACTCAGACAGTCCTACTCAGGATTCTGCCTTCTCCCCCAATCCGAGTCACACAGATCATGTAGCAGACTCCCAAGGCCATGGATGGAAGGCCTTGAGCCCCACGTTGAGATGCTGGGAGTGGAGGAGGGCAACTGCAGCTGAACCTGGGAGGTGAGGGTGGGGTGGCTGAGTCAGATCAAGTGCTGTCAGGGCAACGGCGGGCGGGAGGGAGACACTCGAGAACAACTTCACCCATCTCCAAGCATGCCTAGGCTAGTCTGAAAATAGACAGGGTTAGCTGTGGCTCGGATGGTGGTTAACATTTGCAAACAGAAGTTCCTTTGTGCATCAGCATTGTAGGCTGCTGATTCAAGGAAGCCACTTGAGATCCCAGGTCTAAGTTCCCTCCACGTTCCCTCCCTACCAGCAACTGAGAGCACAAATGGGCACAGCTCTCTGGGGAGGGGGCCTAGGGACACATCATTAGGGTATCAAAAGTGTCCTGAGTAAAACTGGCAGTTTGACTTTTGGCCTAAGAAAATACGGATGTTTGTACAAATAATAATACTAATAAAAGAGGAAAAGAACACAAATGTTTAACAATTTGGGAAGGCTAAATAATGCATTATAGAATTACCATTGAAATCAGGTACTATGTCACCACTATTTTGTGAAACAATATTTAAATGTAATGGGAAAACATTCCTGGAATAAGGAGGGAATTTCTGTATATATGGGTCAAGAGTCAGAGGACAGACAAACTGTTTACTGAATCTTTCACTGGTAGTTTACTGATATTTACTCATGTATTAGCAGTAGTTTCATTAAGAGTAACTTTATGATAATTTAATTCTTTTTTGAAAACCTGTATTTTCTTTCTTCCTCTTTTATCATATCATAATGAGCAAACAAAATTACTGCAATTCCTCTTTAAAAATCCGGTGCCCATTCTGGTGTCAGAGCTCACTGAGTCCAGGGATTCTTATCCAGGTCAGTGGATCTATCCAGTCCAGAGATGGGCTTAGGAGGACGGAAGCTGGTGACCTTCCTGAAAGGACACCCATGATTTTCAGTGCCTCTAGGGGAGCCTGTTCACAGATTCTCGAAGCTATGGCCCTGCCCCACTTACAGAGAAGGGAGGTTGGGTGGTCTTTCCAGGGTAACAGAGCAGATTGAAGGGCAGAGCTGGAGGTGAGTCCCTCCCACTTGAATGCTCATCAGGGGCTACTGGAAGAGGTTTAAAGGCAGCTCTGACTCCCTGGAATTCTCTGGAATGTCTTTGACTGAAAAGCCAGGGAATTCAACACCCCCAGTCCCAAGCAAGAAGCCAAGGTTTGGGAAGGCCAGATTGCCCCCGAGGGAGCCACAGTCTTGGAAGCACAGGTGCAGTGCTGGGCTGAGGCAGGGGTGGGAAGAGTGCATGGGGGCCAGACGGGTGGACACAACCATGGTAGGGTGGATTCTCTGTCTCTGTCACATCATAACATGAGCTCTTGGTGGTGACGGGAAGAAATCACATGTTTTTTCTAAACTTATTATTAGTCAAGGACAATCCTCCTGATCTCTGGTTCTACTTTCCATTAAATGGAGATAATAAACCTCATCTGCCTCATGGCACCAGTGAGGATAAAACGTAAGTAAGATGAAGACAGAAACATCTGGGCAATCTGATGTAAGCCATCCTATCAAACACTGGGCTGTGATTTTCTCTCCCTCTGCTTCTCTGGACAATGAATACTGTGGGCATCTCAGATCATAAATCTGTTTGCACTTGGAATATAAATGTGGGCATAAACCTGTCAATATATCCCAAGTGGTATGCGGAGGGACTTGAGGAAGTCACCGGTTGTCACTGAGTCTCCATTTTTCTTACCTGCAAAACGGAGTGGTTCTGGCCACTGAGAAACTTATAAAACAAGTAGCCTTTTATCCAGACTTGGCATGTAATTTATTCATATCACACACAATTTCCATATTCTATTTTTTCATTTCAGAGAAAGAAATTGTGAGGACATGTGTTTATATCCTTGTGGAAGGAGAAGTTTCCCCGTGAGTGGCAAAGATGAGGGACACACCCACTGAGGTGCTGGGAAGGGACACAGTGGGGGATTTCTCAGATTTGCACAAAATGAGGCTGGCTGGCTTTTCTTTGGCCACCTCTGGTCTGCCTCTCAGGAGCCACAGTTCTGCCTGGCTGCAGTGGAGGGCTTAGAAAGGGGCAAGGTGCAGAGAAGGAGGCCCTGGGGGGTAAAATAGCCTCTTGAATTGCTGGGATTACAGGTGGGTGCTACTGGGCTAGGTTCTTTTCTTGAAGAGCTTACATTCTGGTGAGATAACAATAATGATAATAACTGTCATTAGTATAGCTAATACTTATGGAGCACTTACTATGTGCAGTGATTATTTTTTCTGTGTACTAACATGCTTTCCATATGTCAGTTCATTTTATTTTGAGTTCAATAATTTTATTTAAATACTTAGGCAAGGAGGAGTGGGAAAACGTGTCCAAAGCCTCACAGAGAAGCCAGAATTTAAAGGTGGGCAACTTGGTTCCTTGTTTAACCAGCAGAGTATCGCTGTTAGAAAATAGCCAAGTGCTGAAGAACAGCGCCTGGGAACTAGCACTTTGCAGAGGAGGTGACACTCCAAGAAGCTGCTGCCTGCAGGCACAGGAGAAGCTGGCATTCCTGCACAGAAGGGCAGGCACAAAGCTCTGGGGTCAGGCAGGTATGGGGTGGGGGAATTGCAGAGAAGGTCCATGGAGTCTGCAGCAAGAAAGGAGGGGGAATCCCTGCTGTGACAGGCCCTGCAAGCCCAATGTGGCTTCTATCCTGAGTCAAGGGGAACCCTTGAGCACTGGGGCACTGCTGTCTATATTGAAGAGGAATAAAACTCGAGGAGGGAAGGATCGGGGGTCTAAGGACAGGCAGGAGGCTGTTGCTAATACACCCAAGTCTTTAGGGATGGCATTTTACAGTGTCATTCCTGAGCACCTGCCTTTTATGAAATCACTCAGTACTGGCTTAACTAACAGTAGCTAACCACACCTGGAGAAAAGTTCCTGGTTTTAGGCAAAGTGATGTGTGGCATTTCTCCAGCCATGTTTGGTCTGCCCCTTAGGAGTCACATTTCCATCTGTGCTCAGTGCTTTCTTTGCATCCTCTTTAATTAGATGAGTTTCATTTAAAAAGCCTCATAGGAGAGGGTGTGGTAATCCCAGTGACTTGGGACAGGAGGATCACAAGTTCAAAGCCACACCCAGCAAAAGTGAGGTGCTAAAACAACTCAGTGAGACCTTGTCTCTAAATAAAATACAAATTAGGGCTGGGGATGTGGCTCAGTGGTTTTGTGCCCCTGAGTTCAATCCCTGATATGCAAAAAAAAAAAAAAAATTCCAGGGCACAATATGCTCAGCCCTGCTCCTCCCTTGAATAGCCAAATCCCTGCCTCATGGCTTTCTTGAATTCCTTCTGTTCCCAGATCCTGAAAGGAGGACATTACTTTGAAGACAAGGAGGGCATTGTTCTCAAAGGTATAGATTTGGAAACTTGCATAACAAAGACTTCTCCTACTTGGTTGGTGGAATCTAGGGATTCTGGATTTCTGACACATGGCAGGGGATGGGGGTGAGGAATCCCGTCTGGGCTTGTTTGCAACATGATAGGAGAGAGCCAGGCCTTGGATGATATAAACTCAGACACTGCTGCTCTGTTCTGTTTTGTTTTGGGGGTTGCCATGGAAAAGGGAGGAGCATAAAATGGAGAGGAATTAGCGGGAGACCAGGGGGAGTTCAACCAACGTAAAGAAACTTTATGAAATCCTACGTTGGACTTGCACTGGGTTCTACCTAATGCCCATGGCATGGGGTATAGTCAAGTGACTGTCCTGCTGGGCTTGAAGAACTGTCCGTCAAGAAGGGCACCTCTCTCGCTCGCTCCTGATGCTTCTTTCTATGTTGGGGCACAAAGTGTGTCTGACTCCAGGCCTGTCTCTTCCTCTTTACTCATTCAGTAAATAAGGAAAGAGTAAACTGGGTATGTTGGGATGAGCTCTGTCCTTTCTTTCTGGGGAGCCTGAAATCCACAGGAAGGGTTGTCCTCAGTTACCCCAGGCAAGGTTTTACGAGGCCTGATGCTTACACAATTTGGGGGTGGGGGATGAAGAACCTCTTAAAGAAAAATAACATTACAATACAAAAGCAAAATTATTAGGGTTCCTCCCAGGGCCTTAGAAAGGCCTAGAAGGGCCTGTTCAGATGAGGGTCCCTAAAGCTGAAGCTAATCAGCTCCCAGAAACTTGGCCCCTGGCCGTGTATCTTCCTGGCCAGGCCCCAGACCTGTGATGAGCTGGTAAATCTATTTAATTCTGGGCTCCAGTTTCTAGCCATTTGCTGCCACACTCTGCCAAGGTCTTCAGCTCAGTCATAAAGACAACACTGATGCTTTCATATATCATATTTTGGCCTCGTGTCTCAGTTTATTCAGAATCCGGGCAGGGAAGACACACGTTTTATTGCTCCCACTATGGTGATACCCACCCCCACCACCCCTGGGGTGTCCAGAATGAGTCCTGGTAAGTGTAGCATTTACATTTTGACAGCAGCAGTATGCTCCATCTATTAATAAAGGGACTCTCAGAGCCTTGGCTGGCAGGGCGCTG